AAAATATGTTTTGTTCACTCACTGCCACGTCACGTCTCAGTAAATTTCAATTATTATTTTGTAGTTTTTATTAATAGACTTTATTTTATGAGTTAATGTTTGGAGAAAAAATGAGTGGAAATTGCAGATTCTCGTATATCCCCTCAACCTCCCAAAAACACAGTGTCCCTTCATTAATATCTTGCATAGCCACTAATTTTCCACCAATTTAGTGATCCAGAATCTACTGTTACAATTGATGAACCACTATGATGCATTATCTTTAAGGTCCATATTTTACATTAGGTTTCACTCTTTCTGTTGTTTATTTTGTATCATTTGATAAAGGAATAACTTACACACAAAATAACTTACACACACACATATATATGTTTTCAAGTCACAAGTATATGTATATATGTATGTGATAACTTATTTTTTTTTGACCACTGAGCTATATAGTTCATTGTCTGAATATACTACAGCTTATCAGTTCATCTGTTAAAGACTATCTTGGTTGCTCCAAGTTTTAGCAATTATGAATAGAGCCTGTACAAACATTTCTATGCAGATTTTTCTGTAGGACTACTTTTAAAATTTTACTTGAATAAATACCTGTGAGGACAATTTATGATCATATAGTATGTTTATTTGTAAGAACAAAGCAGTTTGTTCGATTACAATTTCAAACCATCTTCCCAAGTGGCTATGCCATTTTGCAATCCCATCAATAATGAGGAGTTTCTGTTGCTACACATCCTCACAAGAACTTGGGTTGTTGTGCTGGGATTTTAGTCATTTTAATATTAATGTGGTGATATTATAATTCTCTTTTAATTTTAATTCTCTGATGCATACTATAATTAAAATCTTTCTATGCACCTGTTTATCATGTGGATACTATGGTGAAGTGTCTTTCAGATCATTTGTATATTTGGTAATTGGGTTGTTTTTTAAAAGTATTTATTTATCCATGAAGATCTGTGGTACAGGCCAGAGGTGGGGGATGAGAAGATTCATCAGAGACAGAGTGGGGAGCAAGCAGACAGGTGATTGACTGAAATATACTGCTGAGGGAACAGCTGGCGAGACAGAAGAGGTCTGTGCTACACATGTCTAGCTCCTGGCCAGGATCCAACTCAGGCTGCAGTGTTCCACTCAGGCTGCAGTGTTGAGAGCACTGAGCTTAACCTAGTCCACCAGGGAAGCCTAGGTTGCATGTTTTCCTATTGATTCTTTTTTAATAAGAATATTTTGTATTTATACTACTTTTTAATCATTTATTAATTCCAGGAGATTTTTGTGGATTCTTGAGATTTTCTACATTGAAATAATGACATCTGGGCACAAGTATAGTTTTATTTTTATTTTATCAGTCTACATTATCTTTTACTTGCTTCCTGTTTATTTCATTAATCTAGAACTTTACAGTGCAATACTGAATAGAATCAATGATAAGGACAGCTTTAATTTGTTCCCAGTTTTTTTTTTTTTTTTTTTAAGATATATTTATGCACACAAGCACTGGGGTGTAGACCAAGGGTGTGGGTGTGAGATTCACCAGAGACAGAGTGAGGAGCAGAACAGGCAGACTGACTGAAACACACTGCTGAGGGAGCAGCGGGGAGACAGGAGAGGTCTGCAGCACCATGCGGGTAGCTACCTGGCTGGGGATTGAACTCGTGCTGCGGTTGCTGGCAATAGCTTACACCACTATCTTTAACCCTGCACCATAAGGGAGGTCCTGTTCCTAATTTTAAGTGGCAACCAGTTGTCATTAAGTTGATTTAGTTTAGATTTTTTATTTTTTTAGAAATTTCAAGAAGTAAGCCCTATACTTCTAGCTTATCATGTAAATTAATCTTGCTTTCTTTGTCATTCAAGCATTCTTTCATGATTCTATATAGATCAAAGTTCCATTAATACACAAAATTTAGGACTTAATAATTCTAGTGAGACAGTCAAACTATAATCTTATTATCTGCATTTTATTTGTTCTGGATTAAGTGCTGAAGAAAATTATCTAATTAATTATGTAAATGTTTTCTGTTTACCTATTGCCACATCTCTGTGCGTTTCAGTAATAGTTTATTTTCGTATTTCTTTGATTTAAATTTCAAAGTTAGAATTTTCCTAAGAACACTAATTCTTTGATGTGTAACCAGTTATACTGAATGTCCCCATCTTGTTTTGAAAGACTATTATCATACTAAGTCTCCAAGCAACTCTGCAGCAAAGAATCCTAAATAAGTTTGCCAAATACACCTGACTGCAAAGCTTATTTTTCACTTTCCAACCACTAATTTTCCACCAATTAGTGATCCAGAATCTCACCTCAAGGACTGTGTATAAGGTCAGCAAACAAATGAGACAGATTGTTTTCTTTCTATACTGTAAAAAATACTTCACAGACAGAAGATGACACTACTTGTTTTCACAGTGCATAAGTTGGTTTGTTTCCAAGTCGAGATGAGGTGTATCCCGGCTGAGATGAGGGGAGACATGAATATTGAACTTGGTGGAATGACTCAGTGGTCACCTTTGTAGACCACCTCCTTAGTCCTCATGAGAGGGACATGCAGACACCCTGACCCGATCTGCTGTGTCACTGAAACCCAACCCCTGCTCCTCTCGGGTCTGCTGTCTTCATGTGCCAGAGGGACAGAAATTTCCCCACATCTTCCAAACCTAGAAGATATGGCCAGGACAGGAGACCAGACCCACAGAGAACCTTTCATCAAGCTCAGCTGGCAATATAGGTACAAGGCTCTGCCAGCTGCGAGGACTATGACTCCCTCGAGTTCCTTAGAGGCCATTCAGCAGGGCCTCTCCACCCACCCATCCACAGGACCTGTGGGCACCTTCAGTCAGGGTCCTCACACCAACCTTGCCCACCTGCTCTGGCTCCTCAAATGCTCCGAGCCTAAGAGCTGGACACTCCCGATGTCCCTGCAGGATCTGCTGCTGGAAGCAAAGCGCTCTTACTTGAACAGCACACTGACTGACTCTTTCAATGAGATAAAAAGGAACTACGCTGTCAGGGTGACATCTGTTTTCCCTTTAACTCTTGTTAGGGAGTTAACAATGTTCCTCACAACCTAGTAAGTCCTGGTGGAATTTGTATTTAGATTGAAGAAAGCTTTAGAGA